CCGCAAAAATTAGACCAACCATTGCAAATGGTCCTACATAAGTACGTTATATTAGATATGTAAATCGTTAAATCTATATATAGATTAAAGTCTAAAGTGGACATTAACAATTTATCAGCCATTCGAACACGTGTTTCAAATTTTATTCGCCTTTTATTGGGCACTGAGTTTCGAGCTTTCACGTTCCCTGGCCGCATTCAATCAGATAGAGAGAGCAGAATTTGCACAATTCACATTTGTTTTATTGAGTAAAGTGGTTAAATATATTATGTGTACGAAATGGAAGAGTAAACAAAGCTTGCTGCAGTGGTGACAGCATTTAAATTTAAAGCCCAAGGCGCTAATAATATAGCAGCTAAGATAAACACTATATGAATTGTAATTTGTAATTGTATTTCTACTTTGTGAATAAATTCCAAAGCATTATTATAATTCGAAATACTTGTATTATTTGTCGAACAAAGATTTAAGTCAACTAGATATTAGCAATTGGTATTCAAGTATTAACACATGGAGTAAAATGAATAGGTTTATTTTAATTCATTTTAGTTAGTTACTAATTTTCAATTAATTATTAATTCCTAGTATTATAAAATATTTAAGCAAATATTATATTATAAACCAAAGCAAAGCACAAATATAAATGAAAGACTTCCTAAATAACATTTCTCAAATTATTTAATATTCTATATATAATATTACAACTGAATTTCTTTTAATAGAAACCCTTGACTGGAACTTGGGGTTAAGTCCATTAATATTAACAATTTATATTAATAATAGATTTTGCTCTACATTTTTTAAAGAGTAACGAAAAACGGCTGGTCTCCTGTTACGATATATTGTGGAAGGCATTGATCGAGTCGTGTTGCTCTATTTGAATTGACACATTTTTGTGCATAAATTCAATTTAAGCCAGCAGCCTCGTGTGCAGCTCATGGCGAAATTGAAATGGAATTGCTGGCTGGTCGACTGGTTGGCATTGCAAGCAACTTGCATAATTCATTCACTGCCGCAACATGTATGTGATTCTGTATGTGTGTGTGTGTTGCCCTCTAAACGAGTTAAACGTCGTTTGTTAACACATTTAGCATGTGTCGGTGCAACACAATAAAACGAAGAGGAACTTAAGCCAAATGCGACCCACGTTCAAAGCTCTTCGCATAACTGGATTACGCATACGCACTGTTGCACTCGACATGCACACACATGTCGTATGAGTGATAACTGCTAGTACGAGTGTGCCACGTCCCGAGCATCAAACAGCTCTTGGGGGAAAATTGCATTTAACAAAAGTTGCTCGTGCTGTGCATATGGCAGCGATAAATTGAAATTTTTAAGGGTACAACTATTTAATTAGGTAAGTATTTGGCTGGAAAAACTGAACAACTTGCCACGAGCTGGCAAAAGTTTGCATTGGATGAGTGTGCGCGCGAATCGTAATTGAATGCTGGGTGATGAGTGAGCTTCAGTTAAGGTTGCAGGGATATCATCATCAAAAGCAGAAAGTTTTTGACTGACGAGAGACGAGAGTGTTTCTTGATTTTAAAAGAGCACTTGCTTGTGCGCCTTTTCCTCTTACTATAGAAATTGCTTTTAAAAAGATAATAACATTGCAATTAAAGCACTTAAGCGGACCAGCTATACTATATACATATACATGAATAACATTACAGATAATACAGAAGATTATGGCGCACGCACAAAAAATACAGAGAACCAACGAACTTAATTTACACAGAGGCAATACAATGAAAAAAAAGTTATAAACATAAAATGACAGCAAAATAAATAATATAGAGAAAAGAGAATTAACCATAACAAAAAACGGTCATGCAGTCTACCAAAAAAATTAATGCACCTGAATGTACAAGACTCTTTTTATACCCTGTACCCAAAGGGTACAAGGGTATATTAGTTTTGTGCGAGTGCACATGGAACACACAGAAGGAGGCTTGGTAGACCCCACAAAGTATATATATTCTTGATCAGCATGACAAGCCGAGTCGATATAGCCATGTCCGTCTGTCCGTCTGTCCGTCTGTCCGTCTGTCTGTCTGTCTGTCTGTCTGTATGAACGCAAGGATCTCCGAAAGTATAAGAGCTAGAATAACCAAACTTGGTATACAGATTCTCCTGAGACCGAGAAAGGACGAGTTTGTTCATTTTTTCTGATCCACCCCCCCACTCCCCCCCTATTAACGATTTTCTATAACTCCCGTAATTCTTGGAATTTTGAACTGAAATTTGGTAGACACATCCAGTTAGTAATTGTATATCCGTATACCAAGTTTCATTATGATAGAATGATTGGAAAGAAAGTTATAGCCATATAACCAGGCCCAATGCACACATACATACATATGTACAGTACACAAACACGCATAAGGCACGATTCTGATGTAAATGTAAATGTATCTATGCATGCATGGAATATTTAGTTAATTAATTAAATTAATTTAGTTAATTAATTAAATTAAATTAAATTAATTAATTAAATTAAATTAATTAATTAATTTAATTAATTAATTAATTTAATTAAATTAATTTAATTACTTTTTTGTGGGGTGGTACAGGGTATTTAAGAGTTGAGCCTGCTCGACTTTAGCATTCCTTTCTTGTTTGTTTATGTTTAGTTGTGTTAATATTTTGAATAAGTAAAAGCTATCGAAACTTATAGAAGAACAGAGTTAAGCCAATAATATTGCTACAGATCAATATTACATATAAATGGTTCTATTGATTACAGTTTTCAGTTAAGCAACTGATTGAACCTAAGAACTGGATGTCAAATAAGCAACATAGAGCTAATAATAATGCTATAATTACCCAACCTGCTTCAAAGAAACTACAAATTAATGGTGCCTTATTGTGTCGAATATTCTACATTGCATCAGCAAAATCAATCAATCAATCAGTAGTGAGGCAAGCACGCTATTTCACACGGCTCGGAAAAAATTGAATTTGGGATTAGAGACGTTGGCCGATGACTTGCTATATAATATATGTAATATAATATATACTTGTATAGTATATGTTACTGTTCATGCTAAAGTCGTTTTTAAGGACAGCCCAGAGAATAAGAAGTGGAAGCAACTACTATCAGTCATTCAAAAAATATGGAAATTAACTCCCAGAGAAGTTGCTGTAATCAGAAAATAATATTGCCGTAACACTATATTCGAGACATGCTTGTTAAAATAGACAAGTTTGCGTGCAAAATATTTGCCTGCCTGCGTGCTTGTTAGACTTATAGAGCTTACAATTAATCTAATCGATTTTAAAAAGTTGACATTAAATACTTAACCCTCATATATATTTATTTTATTCAGCTCTTTCTTTTTTACTTAGTTTTTTTGATGCTCTAAAGGTCTAAATTTAAGAGAAACATTTCAATCAGAAAATCGAACCTTTCTAGAAAACAAATATAAACAAACTTAACGCACCTATTTTTTTTCTTGCAGGCAGTCCCTTTTTTTTCATGTAAATTTTAGGTTCGTGCTTTAAAGTATCGCTGACAATTATGTCTGCTTGCCATATTTTGTAAAAATTAGCAATAATTACGTTCGTTTCTAGCTGAGTTAAGTTTTCTTCAATTGTGGGAACATAGAAAAAGTTTTAAAAGTCGATATGCACTGAAAATGGAAGCCAACCGATGCCAATAAAACCTAACCTGCTTGAATTGAACAACAATCAGTCTCCGCTTTTGAAAAGTTCTAGTCGAATATTGTTTAAGAGTTCACAGGAGGATTTCATTGCCTGAATGTTGCCTATATTTAAGGATTTAAGTCTTTTCAAATAAAGAATAGTGTCAGTAGATTATGTTTTTATAACAGTCTGCCACTCTTCCCCATGCAGTGCAAGTTAATACATTTCTTTGGAATCCAATCGATTTGTAACAATACAATGCCCTTAGGAATATGGCGAACTGATATTTTACAAATACAAATACACATCCATTCGGTAACAGATTCCTGGTTCCAGGAATTCTGCGTTATGTACTTTGCGCAATTATTGCATTTCGTAACTAACGGTTCTGTTGTAAATATGTATAATCTGCAATCAATATGGGTTGTTGCCCAATGCAGTTGTACAAAGGAAAACGGCTCTGTATAAAAAGGACAATCTGATACTGATTTGCAATGAGCGCATAAGCCTGTGATGTAACTTGCGAACTGGCAGGGTATTCATTACCAATTTGCAAATATCCTCAAATACACGCATCCTGGAGCCTGCAGCAATCGCAAAACTGATTACGCTTTGTGCAACGAGCAGAGAACTTGGCCATTGTTTGCACTTCATTTGTCCTCGGGCCCTGCAATGCGATGCCAGGTTGTTTGTTGTGCTTGCAAAGCAACAGAACACGCACAATGGACAAAGCGATAGGCAACTAGTGCCAACTACATAAATTAATTAAGTGCCTGGATAGGGGATGAGGGATGGAAAATGGGAAATGGAAAATGGAAAGAGACACTGAAGAGGCAAAGTTAATAATCCTGAAAGCATTCACAGACAGCAACACACACAGACACACACACACACACATAGGTAAGCCATAGTCGCCGTGCCAGTGGCTGTAAAACTGTAATAAATATGTGAAAGGAAGCTTAGCGGTTGGCGTCGGCTGCGGCTGCGGCTGCGGCTGCGACGGCATTACCTGTGCGTGCGGCTTGCGTTTAAGCTGCGGTCACGCGCAATTTACTGTTGCGATAAACACGCATTAATTTCAATATTCACCGCGATAACTTTTAAGCTCGGGGTCGCCACATGATTACATTTCAATATCAATCATACGCCTCGTTGGCCAAAGGCAAAAAGCGTTCGCACTCAACGCTCTTGCAGTTGACAGCGCAATTTGCCGCTGCACATTAATCAACACACACTTTCCGCCCACAAATTGGCCTCAGCAGCCACTGCGAGAACGCGCAAATCGCTGAGAGGTATACCGTATATACGCACAATACATAAATAAATATATACAAGTATTTATACATACTTACATATTCAATTTTGCTTCAGTTACGCTTACGCCTTAAAGCTGAACAATGCGCCTGTAAGTATAATAAGAAACAATTTACGTGAATTTCATGTTAATAAGTAATAACAACAACAATTTAATTGAACCAACAAAACACGAGTATATACATATATTTGCTTAAATATATTAAGGCTCGCTTATAAAGCACAGTTCATGTCAAACGCCCGCACATTGTAATCGAAAGGCGGGGCTGGGAAAAAATTAAACACATTTTTGTGCAGCCTGTAAGCATTTTTATTAAAATCTACGGCCACAAACAACGAGCATGTTGCTTCCCATGCTGTGTTAATAAAACAAAAATAAATAAATAAGCGAGTAAAGGAGCGAAAGGGAAAGTACAATAAAAAGAATGAATATGTGCCACGCCATTGCATTCAAACAAAAGGCTCAGCATAATTTGCATGACAGGATTTGCAGACGTCGAGCGCACCAAACGCCACCGGCAGACGCATGCACGACTGCTCAGGGGGGTGTGGGGGGTGTAGGGGCGGGTGCTTGGGTGGCGCTGACAGGCAAAACAACTGTCACAACAATGCCCAGCAACCAAAGCAGAGCAGAGCGAAGCGAGCGAGCGAGAGAGCAGGAAAGAGAGGGAACGGCAGCAGAAAAGCCCCAACTCCCGCCCACAGTGTGACCAAAACAAATGTTTCCAAAAATCCAAGCAACACTCCTTCACTTTCCTTAACAGCGTCTCTTTGTAACTGTCACTGTTTGAAGTTCAACGTTCTACAAAACAATAAATGTCTTGCAACAAAAAGTGCATTATTAGAAGTCACAGTTTTTTAAAACTGAACTGGGAATGTTGAGACTGTTGCAAATACCTTTCCATTTAAAATGTTGATATTGTATTTTAAACGGATACTTGTCTATATTTCAGTTTTATCAATGAGACATATATATAAACATCTTTATAAAAATTAATTTTCTATTGGATTATAACAGATTAATTAAATTTTTTCTTGGAAAATTACATGCCGTTTTATACGATGATAGAGCTGCGAGTTGTGATTGGACTGGCTTTTAAATATTCCCACAAGGAATCCAATTATTCATATATTTCTTTTAATAAAATAACAAATTGATTACAAATAACATATAAAAGTCACGATCTGAACAATAAAAAATAATTAAGTAAAAAATTCAGTTTGAAATATATTTGAATATAATTTTGAACTTCACCTCGAATTTTATTATATTTATTGTTTTCTGTTTAAATTAGTTTATGATTTCAATGCAGTACAAAATATATTTCTCTTACTTTTTCTGATTAAAAGCTTCACGGACTATTTAATGATTCGATTTATACATGCTTACCTGTAAATAGGAAATGAGATACTTAAAATAAAGAATAAAAATTAAAAATATAAAAGACATAAACCTTAGCCCAGCTACGGGCTCCTGTTCTTTGTGCAAAGGACTGGAAAAGCCCAGCGCCCAATGTGTTACCAAACGGGTGTCCGCATAATCTTGGAGCAGCTATTAGGAAATAAAATGTATAAAGTAATAGGTATATCCTTAACAAAATCGATATGACACTGATAATTAATAATAATTAGTTTCTATGCCACAATTTAAAAATGCGTGGGAAGCCAACTAGATGTCGACCAATGAAGCCAAATAATTGTCATCTTTAAATAAAAATTATATTGCTTGTAGATCTTGTAGCTCGATTTAAAAAAACAACAATTAGAAGAAAGTAATCCAGCTTAAATAATTATTAACGGAAATTGATAAATATTTCCCTTTAAGAGAAGCTTTCGGAAGTTCACATATATTTTCGACTTCAAACGTTTTAATAGATAGAAATAGAAAATCGTAAATGCGAGTAAAGTTTCGCTTCCAATTTGACAAATTTATATTTTGTAAATGCAAATAGTTATTAATTTTATTAATTAATATTAGAATATATTTTTATTATTAACTTCTTTCGGGAATGAAACTTAAATTAGTTAACATTAAAAGGGTCGAGAAATAATATGGATTGGAGAGTTGGCAGGTCTGTAAAGTTGTTTTCTTTTTTTTTTTACAAAAACATTTAGCAAGTTATTACTTAAAACGTTATTCTGTGTGTATTTGGGAAATATAATTAAATAATTAACTAAATGTAAGCCCACATTTAGTTAAAGCCTAATTGTTTAAATTTGAACAAAGCTTAATAATTTTATTTTTGTGTTTCTAACTACGAATGTTTCGAATGTGCGAGCTTGCAACAATTATTTATTTTTAAAGTGTCCGCGAAGCTATAAATATTGTTTTATAAATCGATCTCAGACTCCATCTAAAGTACATAATTGATTCACTGTGATAGCACAGTGTGCTGTATAAACATACATAAGTACGAGTAAGTATATCGTTCGTGTTCTGGATCCAGACTCTGGTTAGCAGCCTGGCAATCTCAATCTCCATGCAGCTCATCCTTTCCTCTTTCCTTGGGTTGTTTTTGCCACATGTCCTGCGACAATTTTGTGATTTATTGCGCCCTGCTCTTTCTTGTTGTTATTATTGTTGCCAGTCTGCATTGCTAAAAGGTGTGTCTGTATCTATGTGTGTGTATGTGTGTGTGTGTGTGTGTGTGTGTGTGTGTGTGTGTGTGTGTGTGTGTGTGTGTGTGTGTCCTGGCCAAACTAATTTATGTGCGGCCGCACGTACGCAACATGTTGGTGAATGTGTGGAGAGAGCCTGTGTCCCAAATATAAAGACGATTTGCTCGACTGTCGTCCTTTCGTTTGTAAATATCTGAGCTTGTGTGTGTGTGACTGTGTCTCTCTCTGTGTGTGTGTGCTTGTGTTTGTATTTTGGCAAGTTTATTTGTTTGCCATTCTGGCAAAGCTGGAGAGCTTTCTATGAAATTTTTGGCATCGACTTACACAAATAGATGCTTTTTGAGGCAAGTGCTTGTGAAAGGCGTCCAAGTAGTAGAAATTCAATCCAATTCATTTAAGCTAGCTCTTATTGTAATAAAGATGCATCAAGTGCGATTAAGAGCTTTACACTTGAACTAAATAGAATTGTTGTCATATACTGATTTCTGTCAACAGGAGGATAATGCACAAGTAGATTGAATCAATTGCATAATCACCGATCATGCATTTTAATATCATTCTTGCGTTGTAATCCATAAGGTATGAATGCTTTTGCAATCAAATCTTGATAATTCTAAAATCCTTTTATCATAATGCAACCGATGCGTAGGATTCTCCCCTATATTTTATTAGCAATTTCAGCGACATTTTTGTCTGACTGAACATTCTTTCAACTGATTACCATTTAAATTTGAATAGCAATTGAAGACTACTTACAGTCAACTTCCCAATTTCTCTCTCATATTTGGAATTTATTGGTTTTCTTTTATATATAGAATAATTTAAAAAATACTACAATTTTATTTTTTTGTGTCCCAAATTTGAAATTGAAACTAAGTTGCAACTCAATTGGGTGAACTATGGGGTATTACATACAAACGATAGAGCGCACTTACCCCTCTGGAGAATTTTCCAAAAAGAAACTTGTTTCGAAATAATACAATAAATACAATAAGACAATAAACAATGAGTTTTATGGAGCAACCCGAACCATGACTCCAGAGGCCTTCAACTCCTCTCCCAATAGGATATCGTAACATAGCATCCATTTGTGGAATATTCCCAAACCCTTCTGAGCATTCATTTTTCGCAAATACATGCATATCTACTACACTATACTACATAAGTTCTGGCCTTTAGAACTCGACTCGGCTATATTTAGCTACGTTGTGTTTCCCACACCTTTATTCCGATTACACTTGTGCATTACGTTAGACAGCTTCCTTATTACAACACAGCTGCGTGGCAACAACAGATTTTGTAACTGCTACCATTCTCGCCCGTCCGAGTGTTTGTTATTCAATGCGCTCAGCTTTACGGCTAACAAATTGCACAACATTTTTGCGCTTTTAGTGCTTAGCCATTGTCAACTCTATGGTGGCGTGGTGGTATGGGGGAAGACTCGCAAGTAAGAGCAGGCAAAAGCAATTTAGTTTTCAACTTGTCTTCTTCGAGGGTTCGGCACTTCGCAAAAGTTTTATGGGTTTCATGGTTGTTGTTGTTGTTACAAAAGCCAAAGTTATTATTACACAGCAGGCCAAGTGCAAAAGCAATCAGCATGCAAATGCAACTGGAATGTGTGAGGGGGATTTAGAGGGGAGGGAGGGGGACTTGGAGTACAATAAATATTGAGCACAATAAGCCATTGGGAGGCGTTGGTGGTCAGCGAAAGAGCGTATCAAAAAAGTATGCAACAATGCATTTTCCAATTTGATTCTGCAACTGTTCGACTGCTACAGTGAGAGAGATATAGAGAGACTAGATTTAAGACACTGCAAGTATTTTTATAACAGTTCTGGCTCTGCTGCTGCTTCTCATCCAGCCCCATTGCGAGACAAAAGAGATGCCGGCAAGGACAATGCGGCCCTGCAGGCATTGAGTGAGGGTTGCCTGCCATGAATGCCAAACGACTGCACGACTGCCATTGAATGATGCATTGAAAGAGGCATTGAGGCGGCTTGCTGGCTTGCTGGCTGGCTTTGCTTTGGCTCGGTTGGACGCCTGAATGGCAAGGTCATTGCTGGCACACACATCGACAAAGCAGAAGCAAATGAAAAACGCAACCAGCAAATGAAAAACGACAAGGCAGTTGGCTAAGCGTGAAAGTTATTGAAATATGAGCATCATCATCACAGCAATAATAATATGTGGCATAAACAACAGAAATGGTATACTTGTAGTTATAGCCACAATAATAGCGCAAAAACAAAGGCACGCTTCAAAACCCGCCGTCTGCAACATGGCGTATGCGCAACGAAACGCAAAAATGTTTCCTAATTTGTGCACAAATTGAAAGCAAACAAGGTCCCCGAAGTGCGGTAGCTCCCCAAAGCCACAGGTAGCAAGTAAGACAAACGCACATACATTTTGGATGGGCGGAAAAAGGGGCGTGGCTGTATGTGTGTGTATCACCTTCGCTTAGGAAGTTGGC